CAGCCCTAACATAAAACAAAACGAACGAACGAACTAGCCCAATATTGGATGACGTGTCTTCGATTCATTATTATATTGGTTCACGCTTTTCATGCAAAATATATTATTATATATTTATATGATCTTGATTCTTGATATCTCAATTGACAGTTGCAGCCGATCTACTTCTAATAAAATTATTAGCCGGCATATATATAATTAATTAATTATTGTAAAAAAAAAAAAATGTAGCTAATTAGTAATTATTCACCATGAATTAACAACATTCATGCCTTTTTCTAATGAAGTAAATAAAGCATTAAGCATGGCCTTGAGTACTTTGATGCAACTGATCCATCAGTTTGGTGTAATAATGTGGGTTCACGTTAAAAAATATGTATTAAATTTCCATTTAAATGAATTATATATATATATATATATATATATTTTTTTTTTTTTTCTTTTTTTTAATGAATTATACTCTTTATGGTGTGCAAACGACGAAACTAGACAACTTTGACTTTTTTCTCTCTCTTTCCTCAAATTTAAATGGAAGAGAAACAAATAAATAAAAAAAAATATTAGAAAGCAACAACGTGATTAATGCCGAATTTGTTACACTAACCATTTGTATGTATAACAAGATATAGCCCGCATGGGTGTAGCTCAACTGGTTCCGGAGGTGGTAAGTTGGTGCAAGGTCCTAGGATCGAATCCTGGCAGCCGCAGTGTGGGAATTTCAACTCCAATGAGTTGGTTCCTTGTGGGCACCAGGTCCGGGTCCGCTACCTTAACGGGCCGTTGAGTTACCATGATTTACATTCCTCCATCAATCCTTGTCGGGCCAAGGGATGGGGGCCCTGGGGGCGAGGGATTTCGCCTTTTTTTGGTGCAAGATATACCCCTAAGGCCTAAGCTAGCCCGCATGAGTGTATAGTTCATCTGGATCTGGGTGGTAAGTTGGTACAAAGATCTATGATTGAATCTTGGCAGATGCAGTATGTGAATTTCAAGGTCAATGATGGTTGGTTCCTTATGAACACTAGATATGAATCCGCTACCCTAAAAAGTCGTTGGTCACCATAATTTATATTTCTCCATCAAATACTTGTCGGGGCCAAAGGATGGGGACGAAAGATTTCGCCTTTTAATACAAGATATACCCCTAAGCTTGTTCCGTAAGGGATGATCTAGCGGTTGGAACAAGTGCGCTTGTGTCAATCGACCCAAGTTAAATCTCTTTGCCACTAGATCTAACTTGTCCACGTGGTTAACGTTCTTCTTCAAATCAATAATTATTTATACAAAAGTTTAGATCTACCCAATGCACCTATATGGTTGGCTGTTGAGTTGTTAATTCAGTAAATTTAAAAAAAACGAAAAGAATAGTTAGATTTGAAATAAATCAACTAATCCAATTGGAAAGTCAACAAGGGCAATAGTGGAATTACACGCGGATTAAATTATTAGAGTAGTAGGCTTATCTTATTATATATATATATATATATATATCTTATCTCCTCCAACTTACTATATATACTCTATAGTTTTAGCAAAGTAAATTACATCTGCTACTTGTACTAATTCAATTTCTCTCATCCCTGCAAAATAATCAAAAGTCTAATTCAATCTTATTACCAGATAACAACAATGGCGGAAATGTTGGGAAAGGATTTTCAGACAGTAAACAGAAGAATCGCCTCTGTCGCCGGTCATCTCATTCCATCCCAAAACCCCAACCAAAATCACACCACCACCACCACCATCGCCGCCGCAAATTGCAGCTCCGGTTTCGACGATACGTACCACCGCGTCCACGGCCAAGTCCCCACCCACATCCCGGAGTGGACGCCGGCGATGGACGACGCCGGCGCCGCCTTCACCGACATTCTCTACGAGAAAGCCGTCGGAGAAGGCATCGCTAAGGTTTAACTCTGTCCATTTTTATTTTATTTTTAAAATTCATTTTCCAGGATTTTAATTTAAATTTTAAATTTTTTTTTTTGGCTGTAGATAACGATTAATCGGCCGGAGAGAAGAAATGCTTTCCGGCCACAGACGGTGAAGGAGCTGATTCGAGCATTCAACGATGCCAGAGATGATAACTCCGTCGGAGTTATCATTTTCACCGGCAAGGTATTTTTTATTTTTTATTTTTTATTTTTTATTTTTATAATAATAAACTCTTATTAAAATTCATCAAATTGTTAATTGAGCTTCAATTTGAATATATTTAATTGTCAATTGAATTTCTTAATTGATATTAATTGTTAAGTCATACATCACCCGTTCGTTGACTATCACAAACTTGATTGTTACTCATATACATATGCTTTCACATTTAATTGATTTATTATTACAATGTATCTTTAAATAATAGTTCATATAGTGCATTTAATTTAATTTAATGCCATGTAGTACAATGTATAATACAGTAGAATTTGGGTAAATCTGTCTCGATTCGGTAAAAAAGTACTAAATTATTAGTTCGATAATTTAATATTACTCTAAATAGATAGAATTTTTTTGCTAGTCCGACTGTATTAATTTATAGAGTTTTATGTTATATAGGGTACTATGGCATTTTGCAGTGGAGGAGATCAATCACTCCGAGGCAAAGAAGGTTACGCTGACTTCGATAATTTCGGTCGCCTCAATGTTTTAGATCTCCAGGTACATTTATTATAAATTCTAAAATACTCCGATTAAATCGTAAAACAAATCTAAAAAAACAATTTAATATTGAGTACCCGATTAATTATTTGTCGATGTAGGTCCAAATCCGTCGCCTCCCCAAGCCAGTGATAGCAATGGTAATCTTATTTTAAATTTTTTAAATAAATAAATGTTTATTTTCTATAAAAGAAATCATTTATGAATAAATAAAACCTTATGCCTTGTTTGTTTGTATTAAATTAAAAGGTTGCAGGGTATGCTGTGGGGGGTGGACATGTGCTCCACATGGTATGTGACTTAACAATTGCAGCTGATAATGCTGTTTTTGGTCAAACAGGACCTAAGGTAATTAATTAATTTAATTAATTAATCCTTATTCTATTGTTATTATTTCCTTAATTAATTATGTTTCAAGAATCCTATGTACATATATATACTTGGATGATTTAGTTTGTGGGGATTGCAGGTTGGAAGTTTCGACGCTGGTTTCGGGGCATCGATAATGTCTCGTTTGGTATTGTTTCAAAACTTTTAAGACACTATTTTTCTCTCTCACTGTCTCATTTCTTTTTCCTTGTCCTAAAATATTTTGTCAATTATATAGGTAGGGCCGAAACGAGCGCGCGAAATGTGGTTTATGGCGAGGTTTTACAGTGCAGCTGAAGCAGAGAAAATGGGACTTGTGAATACTGTTGTTCCTGTAAGATTTTCCCTGCTACTAGATCTATATAAAGTATAGTAATATGTCTGAATATATATTGGAATTTAATTTAACCTTAAAAAATAAAAAATAAATGAATTTTTAATTTAATAAATTAGGTGGAGAAGCTTGAAGAAGAAACAATAAAATGGTGTAGAGAGATAAATAGGAACAGTCCAATGGCAATTCGTCTATGTAAATCAGCTATCAATGCAGCTGATGATGGCCATGCTGGACTTCAGGTACTCAAAAATAAATAAATTAATTAACATGCTATTTAATTTTTAAGATATAAATAATTCATTGTATTACTTGTAATAATTTTATTTTATTTTTATGTTTTTGTTTTTTCCAGCAAATTGCGGGAGATGCGACGCTACTGTTTTACGGAACAGAGGAAGGTACGGAAGGGAAGAATGCATACTTGCAACGCAGGAAACCAGACTTCTCGAGATTTCCTCGGCTTCCATGATTTTTTGTCTGGAGAAACAATTGCCATGCAAGCTTTCGTCTTATTTATATGCTTACAATAATTACGCTGAATAATTAATTGGTCGAGGAAAATAAAGCTGTAACGAAGGCCGACCAGTTTCCAGTTTTCGTTTCGTCGTTATGTTTTCCTGTTACAAATTACAGACAATTGGCATCTCTGCCTTGTTTCTGTCTTCAACTTCTATAGCAAGAGCAAAAATTATTTTGATTTTATATATAAATCATGCATCTTATATATATTATATATATATATATATATAATGTCTAAAGATTATATGTAATTTAAATCATGCATCTTTATATGTAATTTAAAGATTAAATGGACACAAATATTCAGTTTAGTGGGCTTAAGTCATCCTATTAAGTGGGTAAATTATGAAACAACCCTTGAACTTAGACTAAATAACGAAAAATACCCTTACATACCCGTAATTACCAAAATCCCCCTCTGACTAACTGTTGACCGAGTTTTTTAACAGAAAATGTGTACAGTCTAATTACCTTATGTTAAATAAATGAGAAATAAAAGAAAATATCTGAAATTGTGTAAAGTCTATTCCGTGAAAAGCCACACTATAAGGGGTTGATGTAAGAGAAAAACCAACATTAGGGTTTTTTTGTAAACTACGAACAAGTGTAGGTGATTTTCGTAATTTACTCTTACTTTAGTTCTCTTACAAACGAGCTTCTTATTTTGGGCTCTCTTAGCTGTCAAGCCCAATATAGAACATTATTAATAGGTTGGAGTGGTCCAATTAGATATATCAAAATCATTGCTAATTTTAGACCCAATAATCACAAATGGACAACTTACAAATATTACAAAATAAAAATATATATTTTTTTTCTATTATAAATCTCAATACTATTCAATTTTATAATTTGTTTTTGGCCGCTTAATCCGTGGAAATCTACGGTGCAGAGCTGGCCATCCAACAAAGCACGTCTTTTACAAAATCGTCAAAGGAGAGGCGCGTTGAAAAATCTTGTTCAATAGCAAAGCACAAACACATTATTATGATCCAACGGTCACCTTAAGAAAGGAGAAGAAGATCCAACGGTGTCAATTCCTGTAAGGGCTGCCCCGTTGTTTTGGAGAATGAGTAGGGGCATTTTCGGCATTACACAAATGCCTGGAGGACGCGCCCAATATAAATGACCATTGGTCGACGATTCTCAATCCTCACCAGAAATAGTCATTTTTACTCTCTCTCTCGCGTTGTTCTCAGGCAGCTCCATATTTTTCTCTCCGAATTTCATAAGAAATACTCGCTTTCTCTCTCTAGGATCTCATCAAATCTGCCGTTCTCAGGTATGTGATCAATTCACCATGGATTGTGTGCTGTGTGCGTTTTTTAAGGTTTGGATTCTGATCGGAGTTGTGATTTTGTTCATTTGATGTTGTGATTTGATGCATCTGTTGTATGTTATATGAATTAGGTTTTTCCTTTTTGCTGATTTGTTTTGCATTTTATACTTTCTTTTGGGGTTGATCCGCCATTTCGTCGGTGATCTAATCTGGAATCTAGTGATTGAATCATTTCGATCTGATGGATTTCTTTATGAATTTCGTAACTGAATTTTGAGAATCTGGAAATCGTGAGATTGATGTCGACATTTGCTGTGGCTTTATTCGGAATTGATTTTCCTTGTAGATCCGTTTGATCTGGTAATTTCATTGGAAAGTTGAATTTTAGCTCCAATAGTTGTTTTTTCGAGACTTTGTTTTTAGATGTTTGTTACCTAAGATCATGCTCCCCCGTTATATATTGTAGATTGGGACGTTGTTTGAAAAAAAATCTGCGTATTATTAGTTATATGTGATGTGCTCAAAATGCTTATCTATAGATTGGGATGTTACCGTTAAATCATTTCATATATCAATCTCTATTTTATTTGATTCGTAAACTGTGTTTAAAAATAATTGTATCTGATGTTCGTTTGGTTCAGTAGTGGGAGCATGTTAGTAATGATTATTGTTGATTGATATGCATAGAGTCTTATGGTTTTGCATGTCCAAATGTTGACATGCATGTTAGTAATGATTATTGTGTAAACAAATTTTTTTTTCTAGAATTACATGTTGTCATCGATAGACGATGCTCAGGCTATCTTGAGATGATTATCACTCGTATGAGATGCGTGTAGGGCTGGTATATGCATATTTACATAACATGAATGGGAACCATAATGGTATACAGGTGTCAAAAACAGTAACGAGAAATGGGGTTGACATTCACGAAGCTTTTCAGTCGGCTTTTTGCCAAGAAGGAGATGCGCATTCTGATGGTTGGTCTCGATGCGGCTGGTAAGACCACCATCTTGTACAAGCTCAAGCTTGGAGAGATTGTCACTACTATCCCTACCATCGGTATGCTCTTTCAACTTGGCTCTGTTTATTTCTGCTGTGTACTGTTTAATATTCCTCAACGTTGGCTTTTTTTTCTTTTTTTTTTTCTTTTGAACTACATCCGACAATATTCATTTTCTTTTTGGCTTACTGCAGGATTCAATGTGGAGACTGTTGAGTACAAGAACATTAGCTTCACTGTTTGGGATGTCGGGGGTCAAGACAAGGTTGGGATATGTATTTTTATGTTACGTCTCGTCACTATCTTGTAACTATATTTTAGTTAAATAAACTTTAGCTCTCCATGCTCCTGTTTACCTTGCCCCTGTTTAAAGATTGTCATCTCATATTATATAGCACAATATTCAATTTCTTTATGAAACTTTCATGTACTTTGTAGGTTAATTATTTTTCTACTTAATTTCACAGATCCGTCCACTATGGAGGCACTACTTCCAGAACACCCAGGGTCTCATATTCGTGGTGGATAGCAACGATAGAGACCGTGTTGTTGAGGCGAGGGATGAATTGCACAGAATGTTGAATGAGGTAATAAACAATCCCTTTCTAAAGTCTGTTAATGTCAATATTCTACTTCTAAGAAGTGCAAACTCGTCAAGCACTTGCCTAAGAAAAAAGGATTCTCAATTAGAAATATATATATATATAGAAGAATAAATTATGTCCATAATATCAAGACTTCCTATCAATACTATTCAAACTTGGAAATACAACCCCCCGACTAAATGCAGCAGAGAGAATAGACTGTTAATTTGCTATGTCATCATTCGTGTGCTCCCATTGCTTGAGGTCAGTGTAATGTATAAATATTTGTTGTGAATCTACCCATATTACCCAAGTTGACTGTAAGAAAAAATTATGTTGAACTCCTTTCTTATACATATATCTTGGGATTCTTTTAATCGTGGAAGTACCAACGATCCGCTAGATAGCACATAATCGTTGCTGGAAACAATCAAATTAGCTCTCATTTTCTCAGTTTGATCTCAATATTGGAATAGCAATATAAATTCTAGGATTGATTATTTCGTGACATAATCATATTTTTGCTAAACCATTCGACTCGTTCTTTCAGGATGAGCTGAGAGATGCAGTACTGCTTGTATTCGCAAACAAACAGGATCTTCCTAACGCAATGAATGCTGCTGAAATAACCGACAAACTTGGCCTGCACTCACTCAGGCAGCGCCACTGGTAAACATTCTTAACCCAAGTTCCTCTTAGATTCCATCGTTGCATTTATGCTGACTGTATTTTGTTTCTCACTCGATTTTTATTTGCTTGCAGGTATATTCAGAGCACCTGCGCCACATCTGGAGAGGGTCTGTACGAGGGGCTCGATTGGCTCTCGAACAACATTGCTAACAAGGCAAGTAGTGTTCATTCACAGTCATATTTGAATTATATATATCCGACTGCTATTGCTTACTATTTTACCGGTTATTGTTTTGGTCAACTTCTGACTCTGCTACATTTTTATAGGCTTAAAAGCTTTTTCGGAGAGCTAATCTGGGATGCCACCGACTTTTTCACCCAGCCTTTTGGCAATGTAATATTTCTTTACAATATTTTTTTGCTATGTTTAGGAGGACCCTTTGAAAATGTCTGTTTAACAAAGGATTATTTGTTTCATAAATTTCGAAAATATTTGCTTAGTTGAATGTAATACACAATCGTTGGTTTTTGGATTTTGTCCTTTTCGTTTGCCGATGCACATTTATTTTAACATGTAAGTTCTTGATTTTAGGTGGTAGTCGAAATCAAATATTCGTGCTGAACCTGCTTATATTTTTCAAAAAACTTGAACGTCTCCATTCAAATGGAATCTTTTACTCGACGTCTGATTTACTAATCTGTTTGTTCGGGGAATAAATTCAACAACTTGATCATAAGATAAATTCTTCGATTGCAATTCGAATCCCTTGGATGATCTTATACTTATATGATCAATTCTTAATTTTATTTTTTACTATTATAATTAATTAATACATCGTTGTCAAAAAATAAGGAAGTTGGAAAAAGAAGCAACAAGTAAAAGCCAAAAACAAAGTAGCACTGTCTCCACTGCTATATTTACCCCTGAGAAGCAGGCATATAACTGTCACTGTATTTTTGCAGGTTTGTTTTTGTCAGATCAAAACCAGGGAATTAAGTGCTTTAGTAAACCCGTACTTCATTAATAACCCCGAAATCCAAATGTCGGGATAATATTTTTTTTTTGTATGAATTAGTTCCTTTTTTTTTAATCAGAATTTTAATTATGAAATAATTCAATGAATTTGATAGGTGTATAAATTATGGTCGACATAGAGTTTATATTATTATTATTATTATAAGTTATAACAGATAGTCAGATACTACTAACACATGATGCAGTAGTTCAAAAACTTAAATTAATACTAATAAGTAATACATACCTACAGACAAAATTATTATTGCAAAAGCCCAAAAAAAATAAAATAAAAATAAATAAAAATGGAAGGCCCCTCTGCTACAAAAGAAATGGTACGCCATAGTACCCGCAGACCCAGTCCTACACCAAATCCGACAATATTCTCACTCTCTCTCTCTCTCTCACACACACACCACACCAAGAAAAGGAAACCGTCGTCTAATTTCTTATACATTTTTTTTTTCTAGTATCTTGTCTGTGTATACAAAATTTACATGCCTTTTTCTGGTTTCATTTTCTTTCCTTAAACCCTTTCATTTCCTTTCGATTCGATTCTCCTCCCCCTTTTTATGGTGCTCTGTTTCCATTCTTGCAAAACAAATCCAAACCGCTTCAACTATAATAATTATTAACCTGCTGCTGTTCAAGTTGGAAAATTAAGAAAACCTGTCTGAATTTTTGAAATATGGAGTGGGGAGGAGTGTTTGATTATAAGGTGACGTTCGATCGTTTCTGTGGAAATGGAATCGTCATGTTGTGGTGGGTTTGCCGAGTTCTGGTGGTGCTAGGGCTTATTTCGTGGTCGCCGGCGCTTTTCCCGGCGGTGTTCGATTTTTCCGGCGGGTTTTACGTTGAGTTCTTCTCCGGTTACGCGTTCAACCCCCACTTGGTGTTCCTTTTCGGAAACTCCATCATCGCCTTGCTGTTCGTGCTCTGCCGCCAGAGCGACGCCCTCAACCTCTCCGTCGGCGGCGATTTCTACGACCACTACGTGAGGTTTAGCGAGGAGGCGGCTGAAGAACGGGAGCCTGTTCTGCCTCCGCCGTCGGATAATATGGCAGAAGAATTATCCGACGCCGGCGACGATGAAAAGCAGATTGTGGTGCGGGCGGAGGAGGCGGAGGCGGTTTCTGAATCCGACGACGTGGCGGCGGCCTTAGAGACGGCGGCGAGGCAAATAGAGAGGTTTCAGAGGACACAGTCGGAGAAAATGAAGAGCCAGATTTCGGTGCGGCCGGAGCTTCGAAGATCTGAGACGACGACGGAGAGTTGCCGGAAAACAGGGAGTTCATCGGGGCCGGTGGTAGACGTGGCGGAGATAGAGACTCTGAGCGGCGAAGAGTTCCGGCGAATAGTCGACTCATTCATCGAGATACACTGGCGCAAAACGACAACTAAACAGAATCAGGTCGAAGAACACGACAACTATCGTTTATTGAAAATGGCGTAATTACAGTAATTAAATTTGAAATCCGGGGATTAATTATAATTTTTTTTTTTCCAATTGCCACGTCATAGATTTAAGCAACAGAGGCTGGATTATCAAATTCCCAATATTTTTTTTTGGTGGAATTAGGAGCCCTAATTTAAACTCAATAATATTTAACAATTGTATCTTATTTTCTTGAACTATCACTTTTTATTTCATAGCATTTGTATTATGACATATATTAATCTCGATAAATTTATGTTACACCAGATGTAATTTATTTTGAATAGATCTACAACGTTCATCTACACACACCAACTTGGATGTGTGTGTGTTTTGTTATATCAGAGAAAAAGAAGATAGAGATCTAACTGTTGTATTTCCATTATAACATGGAAATAAATAAGATATACTTTCATAACATTGTTTATTTACACACATTTATACACAAGTTTTTTTAATTTTTATATATAAAGGGGAGTAAGCATAGAGATTAATTACAAGAAAATGCTCGACCGATGATTCCTATGTACACAATTCAAACATATATATTAAAGGCTTTTGTTATGTCCAGTTCCTCTTAGACCGAAGTTGAGTGAGCTTGTCCCTCAATGAAGCTGCATCAATAAAAATTTCGAAATTTTCGATATAAAAATATTATTCAAACATTTTCTTTTTACTTTTTTCGTGATTAATTTAGATTCTTCAAGAAAATCGAAATTTTCAGACAACAAATATACCTGCATCTCTATAGCGTTCCTCAACAGCAGCAATTAGCATGTTTCTCACTAAATCGAACTCCTTTGTCTCGATGCACGACTGGCCATTAGGTCTACACCAATAACAAAAAAAATAAAAAAAATTGCCCGTATTAAATTGAACTTCTCTAAAAGTCGAGACATTCTTACAACAAAAGGACATCGATTTTTACCTGTCTAGTTCAGTGAATAATAGGCCATGATTCGGTGAGGAGCTCTGCACAGAAACCTTTGCAGCCTCGACAACTCTCATGCCGTCACTATATGCCAAGAATTTGTTGACTTGTATCGGCACCTGTTGACCATTTTGAAATTGATTTACGAGACATTTTTTTTTTGTCTAAGACGGCATCACAAATTGGGCCACTGAAGCACCGTAATAATTTTTATAATCAAATTTACAAAATGGATTATTTACCTTGCATCTCACTGCAATATTAATGGCATCTGACGGTCGAAGATCCAAGCAAATGCAATCCGCTTCATTACCCAACTTCAATCATCGAAACAAAATTCGTTAGTTACCATACAAAAATTTCGAAAGTACGTCGAATTTTTACACTTTCTCAGAGCGTAATTACCTTCACAAGGTGAAGTTCAGCATAATACGCCTCGTGTACCCTTTTAGTGACACGAACAAGTTTCACCTGCACAATAATTCAGCCGAAAAACGGTTTTTATTTTTTTATTTTTTAAATAAATCGACAATTCATATATCCAAAAGAAAATAGCTTCGTGTACATCACAAAACTCACTGTATAGCCCATCTTCTCAATCATATCCTTCACCACTTGATACATAGTCGGCCTAGCCTGAAGTCGAACGACTAATAATCAGCCGAAATATATTTTTAAAAATATATTTATTTTCAAATTTAATATCCGAAATGAAGGGGAGAAAAAAAAACGAGGGCAGCGTACAATTTGGACGTTCCGCATAGCTGCCATGAGCAACACACTCGGCATCTCCACTGTTTTTTTTTTTTCAAGAATAATGAGACAACATAAGACAAACAAAAAACTTTGCGCAATTGTAAGAAAATAGCAATAATTAATTAATAATTCACATACAAACAATTATGGGGAGAAGTATCCCAGTCCCATCTTCCATCTTCAATACAATAGCAGGGTGCGGGGAATAATCCGCTACATGACCGCCCTGCGGACTATTGTGGACGCACCTCAAATGCTTTCCGTCTCTCATCTTGATCACGAATCCATCCGCCCCGCTTTTCACCTCGACTTCTCCAAACAAAAATTAAAACAAAAAAAATATTAATACTAACAAACAACCTTAAACAAATATTATGAACAAATATTACGAACGTACCAGCTTCGATCACACTCGAATTAACATAATCGCTATCACTATCTTTGGAATTTCCAGCTTTGTTGCCATTACCGTTGGATGATGAACTGAAACTGCAATTAGCGGTTCTGGATTTCCTCGTACTTTGTCTGTATCCCAAATTAGTTCTGCCATAACTCTGCCTTTTAAGATCCGAGGATCCATTTGTAACCGGTTTAGCTTTGAGCAGGGGTGAATTAACCGGTATGGAGAATCCGGTTTGTTTTGCACGTACAACGGGGCAAATAACTGAGCCTTGTAGAGAAGCCATCTCAATATCTATTTAAATTTAAATCATCACAAAAATTAAATTAATTAATAATAATCATAACCCTAATTTGGTGTGATATCTAATTTGGGGGAAAACAAATTTTTATAACGTGACCTAATTAAAGAACTAGTTTTTCCATTAAATTATGTTCAATACAATAATCAATCGAGATTTTAAGAGAAAAATAAGATCAAAAAAACAGGTTTTTTTTTTTTTTTTTTTTTTAATGAACATAATTAAGGAACACACCTGAAAGAAAAAAAGCCCTGATTCTGAAGAAGCGACCAAAATCGAAGCGTAATCAGCAAATCTTATGTTATAATTTGATGTAATAACAGGAGAAACGAGATTAGTGTGAAGTAGTTAACGTACGACACAGAATACTGGATAAAGGAAGTTGAAATGGTGTGAGTGAGAGAGAGAAAGAAGAAAGATGAAGAAGATAAGAGATTCTTTCTTTCTAGAGAGAGAGAGAGAGAGAGAGAGTAGAGTTAAATTAAATGTGAATTATTAGCGTCAGTGAGTGTAGATGTTAGTTTGGACAGACTGTACAGAAAATGACGTTTATGACTTTTAAACACTGTTGTATTATTTGTTTTGTATCTTTATCTTGTTTACCTTAAAAGACGGATTTACCCTTTTAATATTTACATTATTATTATTATTATTTTTCTTTTTTAATATTCAAAAAAGAAATAAAAAAGTGAAAAACACAAAATATTAAAATATTTACACATCTAGATGAGCCCAGCTCTTGCCTGCGTTTGATGTGATCAATAGCAGAACTTCTAGACGAGCGCCACGTGTACCAAGAATATTCGGATAAGGAGGCCTTCCAACATAAATACATGAAAGTTTGTGTCCTCTTTTGCAAAATGCCATGGTCCACTTCAAGTTGCAAAAATATCCTTCAATTTATCGTTTCTGTTACATTCTTCATGATAATATATTATATTATATTTTATGATTGAAAATACATTCCAAACATTCAATTTGAAGATTTACAATCGATTTAATTATATATATATATATATACATATCTGGTTAAAAATTTATTTAATAATAAAAAAGAACAAAAGTTACATAAAATTTCATTTCCTTCAAATTAAAGTAATTGTCAGTGCAATAATTTAGATTGTTAATTAATAATTATTACGTTTTATTTAATGGCTGATGAATTCAAAAGTAATTCAGTCTTTTGTTTTGGTCTTATATATGGGCTTTTACATCTTGGCCCAACTAAAAACGGAAGTCCATTTTATTATTAAATATTATTTTTTTAATTATAAAAGACTTAATTTTGTAAGATGAACAAGGGACCACTTTATTCTGAAATTACACGAGAAATAATGAAGTCGCATTTACAAATATGCGATTTCTTAATATATCACTTAATAGTAACTCTTTTAAATAAGAAATAAAAAAAAAAATCATTGAAATGGAAATTAAACTAATTAGGGTAAATTCCACTTTCTCTCCTTGTACTTTGGCTCGATATCACTTTACCCCCTTCTACTCTCAATTGCATCGATTTGCCCCCTTGTACTTTGGCTCGATATCACTTTACCCCATTTTACTCTCAATTGCATCGATTTGCCCCCTTGTACTTTGGCTCGATATCACTTTACCCCCTTCTACTCTCAATTGCATTGATTTGCCCCCCTATACTTGAAAAATTGTCTCAATATGGCCATCGCCGTTAGTTTTCAGACATTTGACCTTAACACTGTTTGATCTAAGTGTGAA